AAATTAAATTAAAATTTTAAAAAATGTTTTAAAAGTCAGTTGGTGGCACACCAGGTTGCACACAACCATACTTTATAAAGCATGAGAATAAACAAAGCTGAAATAAATGAAAACATAAATGATGTTAAGATGTTAAGAGCTAACATGCATCCCCCAAAAAGTTATGTTGAAGTCCTAACCCCTAGTACCTCAGAATGTGAACTTATTTGTAAATAGGGTCTTTACAGAGGTCGCCAAGTTAAAATGAGGTCATTAGAGTGGGCCCTAATCCAATATGACTGGTGTTATAAAAAGGGGAAATTTGGACACAGTGACAGACACCCACAGAGGGACAACTATGTGAAGTGACACAGGGAGACTGCCAGATAAAGACATAGACAGGCACTGAAATTCCATTGTAAGCCAAGGAAGGCCTGGGGCTCCCAGAAGCTGGAATAGGGAAGGAAAGATCCTCTCCTATGGATTTCAGGGGGAACATGGTCCTACAACATTTTGATTTAGGACTTCTAGCCTTCAGAACTGTGAGATGTAAATTTCTGTTGCTCTAAGCCACTGAGTTTGTGGTACTTCGTCATGGCAGCCCTAGTAACTATTAATATATTAATATAATGGGAATGGATCCCAATTGTAAACTCAAAGACAAGTTCTGAAATGAGGAAATGTAAGAACTCAGCGGGTTCCCTGGCCAACTATCCTCTCTATAAAATGAAGAACCTGCGGTCACTAGGAAAGCAGCATGGCCCCAGAATGCAGGCCCCCTGACTCCATCAGCATCCTATCCAACCCTGCCAAGATCATCAAAGACAACAGCCAGACCATTTCAGAAAAAGGTCTCCAGCTGCATTCTCTAATCTGATTTTTCATCCCAGAAGTATGCCTAAGAGAACCCTAATTGGACTTCCCCTGAGCCTTATAAAAGTAGCATCCAAGCTCCATCCATTTGAATAGGACTAAATGGGGGATTCAATATGTGGGAAGCACTAAACGATCCTTGTGTTTGTGAATAATCGTTAGCTCTGGTAAGGCTCACACCAGTCTCATCCCAGTTCCTTGATACCGGTTATAAATCTATTGTTGAGGGAGTGTGGGGGACCAGTCAGTAGGTTTTTTTCACAAAAATCATTATCATTGGTGCTAACATCCTACTTCACATAACACACAATATCTCTGAAGAACAATGGCCAAAAGCAAAATAAATTACACCCAATAGAAAAGTGGCTTTTAGAAGAGTTTTTAGTTCAGGTACTGCCAATTTCTTCAAAAACAAAAAAAATTAGTATGAATATCTCATTTATAAATGAAGATACTCTGAAGTATTAAAAAAAAATCAACATTTGTAAAGCCTGCTATAGAGGCTCTGTGGAAACAAAAGAATACACACGCAAAAATAAAATCTACTGAAAATGGAGCTAACCAAACTAGCTCTTTGACCATGAAACCTGCAAGCAGTGATTCCTGGCTGGGGGGGAGAAAGAGGATGTAGGCCCCTTTTGCAATCTAGTAAAGTTACTAATGTTTTCCAAAGCGGAGCAAGCAAGGACCTAGATTTTTACATACAACTTCAGACCACTCAAGAACTCTCCTAGGTAAACCTTCCCCCCAGGTCTGTGGACTGCAGGCTCAGCATGACAAACATGGTTTCTAAAAAGAGAAAAAACCTTTTTGCTCTGGGGAGCTGTGATCAATTACTGAGTTTGCTACTTACTAGCAGTTTAACCAAGAACATGTTACCTAATTTTCCTGGCCCTTAGACTTCAGACCACAAAATACGAAAAACATTATCTGATGCCCAGGGTCACTGGGAGAATGAAAGGGCATTATGAAAATCACTTTGTTTAGGTCAAGTAATATACCAGAATTGATTGTTATAGCAAAACATTTTATCATAAGGAAAAAAATTGTCTTCTAAATTAAAAAATGGCAAATCATCATTATTACATGGCCTCAAAAATATGCTTTGGAAATTTATCTTCTGTGGCTAGGAGGAAAAAAAAATCCTCCTTAAAAATCACTGAGTTTCTAAATTGGAGACAGCACATGAACTGTGTTCAAGCCATATTATGCTCCTACGTTTATAATTTGTCCTGAAGGGACCTAGATGTGTAATCCCCAGAAGGGGGTGAGTCTTGATGACAATTTGGATATGACTGCACAGTTACTCTAGACACATAATGTAGAGTAAGTAGTAAGGGAACCTGTGGTATGACAAAAGGCCCTGAGGAAACCTTAGCACTTATTGAGAAATGATTCTGGGCTAAGCATTGTGTTAGGTGCTTTACTTAACCATATTACAACAACCCAGGGGACTGAAGTTCCTTGAGGGCAGCAACCACATCTACTTTGTTCACTACAGCTAAAAGCAAAACAGCACGGTGCCTGTGCCTGACACACAACAGATATTCCATGAATAGGCTGCTTGAATACATGAAACAGTATCATCTTCACTTTAAGAACAAGAAAAGTGAAAGCTCAGAGAGGCTAAGTACCTTGACCAACTAACACACAGCAATGCTTAGAACCCATAGCTGCCTGCTTTTAAAGTTCTACAATACCATGCTATCTCCCTTTGTTCTCTGGTGTTAGAAAAGGTAAGAAGTCACACTGTGCAGATTCAGACTGAGCAAAGTGCTATACGGTGAGAACCAAGGCAAGCCCAAGGACTTTCTGTGGCCCAAGTCTTAGAGAAAAAAGTGGCTAAGAGAGGAACAGTTTCAACCTGAAACCAAGGGAGCAGGCCTGAAGCCAGGACCAAAGCAAACCAACCAACCAGCCTTACGGACTCAGTTAGGTTGGCTTTCAGGACTGCATGTGAACACCTCAAGAGCAGAGACTTTTGTCTGTCACAGTCACCATGCCTAGCATAACACTTGGAACATAGGAGGTTGTCAAAATAATATAAACACAGGCTTCACCCGTTAAGGAATGAATGAAAATGACAGGAACAAAAGGAGTAGGGCACCAAGAGTAAAGATGCTACAAAAAGCCTAGGACTGTAAGATGGGAAAAAATGAAAATCCTTCATTATGAACCTGTAACTTACTCAGAGATCCCCCTGGACTGTTTTAAAAAGGGAGAGAGTGTGTGTGTTCTTAGGCAGAGATATAGCACCATTAGAGATAAGAAAGGGAGGAAAGCGATACATTAATAAAGTGCTTTGTTACCCTGACCTGACATTCTTGATTCCACAGTTATTTCCAGAGGAAAAGGTTGTCCAGAGAAGCAGAGATAAGAACCTCAGTGTTTTGTTTGAGGATGGCTTTGGTTTGTAAGATCCCTATCTTTATCACTCTAATGTTAGGGTTAAGGACCTAGGGGTCCTTAAAAGTTGCTTATGAAGGCAAATAGTCTGAGAGATAAGAGTTGTCAGAACGTGCAATGTGGCATTGCATGATCACAGGTATTATGCTTGTGGCACGATGGATAAATAGAAAACAGTCTTCACCAAGTTCTAGGCCCAATTGTATCATCAACCATCTGTAAGATCCTGATGTTTAAATTAAGATTCTATCTCTTGCTCATTTATCTGCAATAATATATAGGGAGTATTAATAAAAATTAATAGATAGCCCTCCGAGTTTCAACATATATGATAGCAAGGAAAAATATTAGAAATCACCTTTTTTTTTTTTTTTTTGAGACAGAGTCTCACTCTGTTGCCCAGGCTAGAGTGCCATGGCATCAGCCTAAGCTCACAGCAACCTCAAACTCCTGGGCTCAAGTCATCCTTCTGCCTCAACCTCCCGAGTAGCTGGGACTACAGGCATGCGCCACCATGCCTGGTTAATTTTTTCTACATATTTTTAGTTGTCCGATTAATTTCTTTCTATTTTTAGTAGAGACGGGGTCTCGCTCTTGCTCAGGCTGGTTTCGAACTCCTGAGCTCAAACAATCTGCCAGCCTCGGCCTCCCAGAGTGCTCGGATTACAGGCATCAGCCACCGCGCCTGGCCAGAAGACAAAATTCTAAATCGAAGATGACCACATAGTTAACTAAGTCATGTCACGGTTCAAATTTCTAGTGCTATTATACACTGAGACTTACACCAAGTGCTTACTTTTCAATCTACCTACATTTTTACGCTTTGGAAAGAGTATCTGTAAGTCCTAACTACACATTACTTGAGATACGATAAAAATAAGTTAGCCATCCATAAACGTATAAAACCCAGCTACAAAGCGAGGTATATTTATATTGTAAGTGCCAGCTAAAAAGCACACTTGGAATATAAAATTTCCCAAGAAGTTATTGACTATATTGTGTTTTATCAATTTTAAGACATACCATTATTTTATGAAAAATGCTACCCATTATAATTGTAAGATACTTCTTTATTTTATTAAAAACGCATACTGATTTTGGAGATGTCAGAACACACAGATCTTAGAACAGATAAAACCTGTTCATTTCCTCAGCTTCCCCTCTGTACTCTCTTATCTTAGGGTCTTCTTCCAAGTTCCTAAGAGGAGCATGTTCTCTTTCCCCCACCTTGCCAAGCTCTCTTTTCTTCCTTTTATTAAACTCCTCTTAAAACTTTCTTCAAATAAGAAGAAAATGTTAAGTACGACTCTCTTTCCTTACTACCATGCTTTGCTTTTCCTGGAAGATAACATAATTTAACCAATTCAATATATTTGTCTAAAGAAGTTCCCAACTATCTCTATGAATCCATACAGCCTTTGTCCTACTAAAAGGCAGGTTCAGTGTCCTAACAGCCTTTATACAGCACATAACACAGTGCACACTGAAAGAGGCTCTTAATAAATGCATTTGATGACAATCTCACTCCCTAAAAAGCTCCTGAATATTCACTGGCAGAAACTACTCAAATACGTGAAAGGAAAAAAAATGTCTTCTTACCTGGTTTCTAACAACAATGGGGTGGAAAACCATTTTGTTGTAAGAGAGGTTGTAACAGCTTTTGAATCTGCCTTTACTGACGAGAACAGCCACAGGCCAGTGAGTACAATCACAAGTTCCATTTTACAGCAAACTCCTAAAAGGGAAAAAAAGAAAAAAAGTTTTGCTACAAGGTAATGTTTAAACCTTAATACTCAGAGATGCAAAATAACAATACTCAGAGACACAAAATAACATTAAAGTTACAGAAATAGAAATGCTTCTGAAATAATAGCAGTACTTAATACCTAGACAGTCCAGTAGATAGATATTTGCTGAGTGACTGACATGTAACTAAAAGCATGTAGTGCATTACATTCTTTCTCTACAAAAGCTCTGCTTCATTTCCTGGAGAGTCTGTACCGTACAGAGGTATAAAAGGCAGCTGGGGCTGGGTGTGGTGGCTCATGCTTATAATCCCAACACTTTGGGAAGCCATGACAGGAGGATCGCTTGAGGCCAGGAGTTTGAAACCAGCCTGAGCAACATAGTGAGAGCCCATCTCTACAAAAAAATAGAAAAATTAGCAGGGTGGCCCATGCCTGTAGGCCAGTTACTCAGGAGGCTGAGGTAGGAGGATCGCTTGAGCGAGTTTGAGGTTGCAGTGAGCTATGATCATGCCACTGCACTCTA